ACTGAGCTTGTGAAGCGGACAGAGCGGGAGGACACGGGCGGCGGCTGGGCTTTGTTCTGACCACCGCTTCGCAAAGACCCTATACATCTTTAAGGCATGTTAATAAAGTTATTTGTTTTTGTACTGAGAAACCCTGAGAGGTGTGATTAGAAACGTTATTCCTTACCACTCAGCCATAAAAAACAATTAAATAATGCTATTTGCAGCAATATGGATGGACCTAGAGATTATCGCACTAAGCAGTCAGAAAAAGAAAGTCAAATACCACAGGCTATCACTTATATGTGGAATCTGAAAATGACACAAATGAACTTATTTACGGAACAGAGTCACAGACATAGGGAGCAGACTTGTGGTTGCCAGAGGTGGAGGGGGTCTGGGGGAGGGATGGATTAGGAGTTTGGGGTTAGCAGTGCAAACTATTGTGTAGAGAATGGATAAACAAAGTGCTACTGTATAGCACAAGGGCCTATATTCAATATTCTGTGATAAACTGTAATGGAAAAGAATATGAAAAAGAATGTACATATATGGGGAGATATATATATATATAGCCGAATCACTTTGCTCTACAGCAGAAATGAACACATTGTAAATCAGCTAATACTTCAATGAAATGTTTTTTTAAAAAAGAAATGTCATTCCTGCTTTTATTAAAAATACACACCCCCACATTAGCTCATAGCTCATTTCAACTGTATCAGATCTTAGATATGAATGTATGAGCTCTTAAATATCATTGTTTTCATGAATTTTCATAAGTTAACACAGCAGGTCCAATCTTGACCTTGCGTGCCTTATTTATTCCTTCTAATCAGGCTATACTTAAATGAACTACCTTTGAAAGGGAAAACAGATTAGTCACCCTAAATGGTTTACTTAAAATACTTCATCATAAAACAAAACAAAACAAAACAAAACTGCACCTCCTGGTACACCTACACCACACACTGATTTTTTCCTCTCTGCGTTATCATCTGTCTTTCTGGTAAAAGTGTTTTATAACCTTTCTTGGAGGTTAAAATGGCTCTAATAGGGCCTTCCCTGGTGGTCCAGTGGTTAGGACTCAGTCCTTTCACTCCCAAGGGCTGGGATTTGATCCCTGGTTGAGGTATTATCCCACAAGCTGTGCATGGAAAAAAATGCCTTACTGACCTGATTGATAAAGGTAACTTACCACGTGCAGCTAAACTCATTTCCAGAATAGGTTGACCACGTACTCAAGCCTGGTTTGTGCACTTCATTCACTCCGATATAAACCATCTCGATGGAGGTCCCTATTACCCATCTGCATAGCTTTGATCCTAACCGGGACTTCTTACCAGGATTTAGGTTCAAACCAGTTTATTTATCTCTTAATCTTCAATCCATCCTTTGAACTATTGCCAGATTAGTTTTTCTCAAACTCTGTCATGATCATTATTAGTAATCTATTTCAACCACTGGTTTGGAATTTAAAATCCTCTATAACCTGGATCATTTTCCCTAAGATTACCTTCTTTTATTTCCCAGCACAGAACTTTTCTCTGCCCAGGATATCCTCACATATTCTGTAAACATAGTGATTTTTCCTCATTGCCTCTGTTTATGCTTTTCCCATGTGTGGAAGTTCCTTTCTAGCTCTCACTGGCTTGCATCTGAACCATTGCTCAAATCCAGCATCCTGCTGGAACCTGCTCTGATTTCTCTGACACTCTAAAGCTTAACTCTCCTCTGGAGGGTAGCACCAGCTTAGGCCCGATCACCTAGTCATCACTTAGGATAAAATGCATCTGTGTTTGCTTGAGAACACACCCCCCCCCCCCCC